ATTCTGAATGATTCCTTACACAGGTTCCTGAACGCCGTTCTGATGTTAGCCAGCCTCGCATATGCCGCAGACGTTATTCTTTTTATATGGGCTTCAGGAGATAGGTTTGGTGTGATATCAACTCCCAGATCTTTCTCTCTGTCTGTTTCATTAAGTACTTTATCTCCTATTCTGTATCCTGTGTTTGGCCTCCTGTTTCCACTGCCTAGTTTCATTACTTTACATTTACTCGGGTTGAACTTCAACAGCCATTTGTTGGACCATTCACTCAGTCTGTCTAGGTCATCTTGTAGCCTCCTACTATCGTCCTCAGTTTCAATTCTCCTCATAATTTTTGCATCATCAGCTAACAATGTGGCGTGGGAGCAGTGGGGGTGTGTGTGGGTGTCGGCATTATTAACATCCTGTGATGTGTGGGAGATGTGACTGTCACCCCGTCCTCCCCTACCTCCCTACCTCCCCATGGTGGGGGTTGAGGAGGGTGGGGGCACCATGGTGGGGGTTGAGAAGGGTGGGGGGCACCATGGTGGGGGTTGAGGAGGGTGGGGGGCCCCATGGTGGGGGTTGAGGAGGGTGGGGGCACCATGGTGGGGGTTGAGGAGGGTGGGGGGCATCATGGTGGGGGTTGAGGGGGGTGGGGGCACCATGGTGGGGGTTGAGGGGGGTGGGGGGCACCATGGTGGGGGTTGAGGGGGGTGGGGGGCACCATGGTGGGGGTTGAGGGGGGGTGGGGGGCACCATGGTGGGGGTTGAGGGGGGTGGGGGGCACCATGGTGGGGGTTGAGGGGGGGTGGGGGGCACCATGGTGGGGGTTGAGGGGGGTGGGGGGCACCATGGTGGGGGTTGAGGGGGGGTGGGGGACACCATGGTGGGGGTTGAGGGGGGTGGGGGGGCCCATGGTGGGGGTTGAGGAGGGTGGGGGGCACCATGGTGGGGGTTGAGGGGGGTGGGGGGCACCATGGTGGGGGTTGAGGAGGGTGGGGGGCACCATGGTGGGGGTTGAGGAGGGTGGGGGGCACCATGGTGGGGGTTGAGGAGGGTGGGGGCACCATGGTGGGGGTTGAGGAGGGTGGGGGGCACCATGGTGGGGGTTGAGGAGGGTGGGGGGGCCCCATGGTGGGGGTTAAGGGCGCCACAGCTGCGGTCAGCGCCCTGATGACGTCACAAAACATAACAACATCACCTTCCGTGTTGACACAAATCCGTTGCTCCCAAGACAATGTTTACACTCTGTTCTGACCACAAATGATCTTGAAAGCTAATGAGTTTGTTTATATTTTACATATTGTAATAATTGAGGTGTCGGGTGACGTCATAGGTGCCACGCTGGCACTCACTGCTGCTGCCATCTTCAGGCGCCCTCCTTAAGTCTCCGCTCATGTGGCTCCTCTTGCTGTCTTTGTGTGTATGTGTGTGTGTGTGTGTGTGTGTGTGTGTGTGTGTGTGTGTGTGTGTGTGTGTGTGTGTGTGTGTGTGTGTGTGTGTGTGTGTGTGTGTGTGTGTGTGTGACTCCCAGGCACGCCCTCCGTGTCGGGCTCCCAGGCACGCCCTCCGTGTCGGGCTCCCAGGCACGCCCTCCGTGTCGGGCTCCCAGGCACGCCCTCCGTGTCGGGCTCCCAGGCACGCCCTCCGTGTCGGGCTCCCAGGCACGCCCTCCGTGTCGGGCTCCCAGGCACGCCCTCCGTGTCGGGCTCCCAGGCACGCCCTCCGTGTCGGGCTCCCAGGCACGCCCTCCGTGCCTCCCTCCCAGGCACGCCCTCCGTGTCGGGCTCCCAGGCACGCCCTCCGTGTCGGGCTCCCAGGCACGCCCTCCGTGTCGGGCTCCCAGGCACGCCCTCCGTGTCGGGCTCCCAGGCACGCCCTCCGTGTCGGGCTCCCAGGCACGCCCTCCGCGTCGGGCTCCCAGGCACGCCCTCCGTGTCGGGCTCCCAGGCACGCCTTCCGTGTCGGGCTCCCAGGCACGCCCTCCGTGTCGGGCTCCCAGGCACGCCCTCCGTGTCGGGCTCCCAGGCACGCCCTCCGTGCCTCCCTCCCAGGCACGCCCTCCGTGTCGGGCTCCCAGGCACGCCCTCCGTGCCTCCCTCCCAGGCACGCCCTCCGTGTCGGGCTCCCAGGCACGCCCTCCGTGCCTCCCTCCAAGGCACGCCCTCCGTGTCGGGCTCCCAGGCTGATCACAAATTGGCTTAGCTAAATGATACAATTCCTGAGGCTATTGTGGCTCAGGAATTGATATTAATGTTGTGGATATATATAAATATATCGAGTCATGTGTGACAGAGCTGTAAGGACGTGGGTGATGGCGATATACTTCACAGACATGTTTAGAGGGGCGGGCGGGGCCGGCGGGTGGGTGGAAGTGTCTGGTCCGCACATCAACACACGTTTTTATGGCTCTCTGTCGCACACTCGCTCTAGTTGGCGTCTTGAGCCATAACTACGGCAACCACAGGATGATGAACAACCCAGCGGGGTTTTCTTCCTATTGGGGAGTGTTGTACATGCTGCTATGCCGGTGTGCATGCATGAGCCCCTGGAAACACAAACCGAAACTGTCTCTATTTTCCGCTTGTTACAAGTTGTAATAAAGTTGTTACATCTTGGCTTAACGTGTTTATGACGTATTAGAACGTTGTTACAACTTGCTATATTGGTTGTTATAACTGGTTATAGGAGGTGGTCATACTTGTTCGAACGTTGTACCAACGTAGTAGTTTCGGTGTGTGTTTGGCGGTGTGTCCACTCGCAGGATGAGTGACGCTGCCTAATAAACTCGTCCCTCGGGGCAGAATTAATTTTTTTTATTCTTTCATTACTATGAGGTTAATTTTTAGTGATGATAAAACATATAATTACTCGTATGCCATTGTATATACATGACAGAAAATACCAGGTCAGAGCTTTTGTTGTAAGCACTGGGATGAGAGCTCTGAACTGTCCCAGGGCAGAATCACGAAGCAGTTACGCAAGCACTTACGAACGTGTCCATCTTTTCTCAATCTTTGGCGGTTTTGTTTACAATTATTAAACAGTTAATGAGCTCCGAAGCACCAGGCGGCTGTTTATAACAATAACAACACTTGAGTGGGAAGTTTTCATGCTTGTAAACTGTTTAATAATTGTAAACAAAGCCGCCAAAGATTGAGAAAAGATGCACACGTTCGTAAGTTCTTGCGTAACTGCTTCGTGAATCTGGCCCCTGAAGATTGCTGAAGGAATGGTCTTCTTTAAAATAACTGGATCAGTTCCACTGGGGCTGGATGAGGACTCTTAAGGTAGATAGATGCTCAGTAAAAGTATCTTACTGTCTGGCGTAGCTCATTAATGAAGGACTATGAATCCTCTCTAGAAATTGTCCCAAGTGCCCTGGAGGAATCTTGACCAGTTTGCTGGATGTAACTTATGACATATTCACACACACACGCACCAAAATACTGTCGGGCAGAGAGCAAAGTCAGACACCTTGCGGAGGACTGTGACGTCTCCAGGCACCCCATGGCCAACCTCTCCTTCTACAAAGAACGTCGCTTTTCGCACGTATGCGTTACTTACGGCCAAATATTATCGTGCTACAAAATGGCAGCGGCTGGCGCAGGTGACTTACTGTCCCGTTTTCCTGTTTAAGGTCCTCTGGAAGGTTTGGAGAGGACACTAAATTGACCGTTTTTTTGACGTTGGGAAACCTGAGGAGGACGGACTGCCATGGCAGCTTATAAATGGTTGTTGGGTTGATGGTTGAGGCGTCTGGTAGAACACATCTTGAGTCATTCATGACTGGATGGTTTGATGGAATTATTTAACAATTGGGAAGGTTGATGACCAGGGGCCAGATTCACGAAGCAGTTACGCAAGCACTTACGAACCTATACATCTATTCTCAATCTTTGGCGGCTTTGTTTACAATTATTAAACAATTAATGAGCTCGGAAGCACCAGGAGGCTGTTTATAACAATAACAACAGTTGATTGGCAAGTTTTCATGCTTGTAAACTGTTTAATAAATGTAACCAAAGCCGTCAAAGATTGAGGAAAGATGTGTACACGTTCGTAAGTGCTTGCGTAACTGCTTCGTGAATCTGGCTCCAGCCTCGTCTGTTAATTTAACAGTTTCAGTTCTATTAGCCGGAATTCCCCGAGATTGTGGCACTGCATGCACCAAACTGTAATGTTTTACTTATTGAATTTGTTGTATGTCTTGGTTTAATGTTATTACCGTTTTGATGTGCTTATAAGAAAAAGTACAAATCATCATTCTGTTATGTTTGTGATTATCTCACCGAGTTACATCTCAATTAGAACTATTATACGGTAATTTTTTATGTGATATTTACATTAAATAATGAAGTAAATTAAATAATTTTAGGGGAGCGATGCTAGCTGCCCCCAAGCCCCGTTATGGGGCACATGCAGGATTAATATCCCTGCCATACACACACCGTAACTACGACGTTGGTACAACGTTCGAACAAGTTTTCGGCCGAGCGGAAGCACACTTGACTTGTGATCTTGTGGTCCTTTTAACACCTCCTATAACCAGTTATAACAACCAATATAGCAAGTTGTAACAACGGTCTAATACGTCATAGATACGTTAAGCCAAGATGTAACAACTTTATTACAGGTTGTAACAAGCGGAAAATAGAAACAGTTTCGGTTTGTGTTTCCAGGGATATATTGGCTTCATATCCTGAGAGTGTGCTCTTCTATGGCCAGAGTAACACGTGCTGAAACAATTTCCTGTTATAAAACAGTCTGATGCATTCATATATAAACTTGAAAATTTAACTTTGCTCAAAGTTAAGTTCAAAACCAAAAGTAATATACAAGATGAAGAACTAGATCCTTATCACACATAAGTCTATGTTACGTGATAAAATGACACAGAACTTTGTATGTTTTCATATGTAAAAATAATTTGATGTAGGAAGAAGTTAGTTACGGACGTATTAATTATTTGTGCAACTTTTGTGATATAGTTAACTAAATGTTATATTTCTTTGCAGACATGAAGGTGTGGGCAGCTGTGGTGGTGTTGATGGTGGCGGCCACCTGGGCCAGTGCTGAGGCGAAGGTACTTCTGATTGACATTATTTGTAGAATTGTAGGCTTATCTTCTTGTTCTGTAACGTTAACATTAGCTTATTACAACTTTCATGTCTCGTGTTTTATCTAGGCTAGGTTTCACCTAGCCTAGCCTTATCTAGCCTAGGTTTCACCTAGCCTAGCCTTATCCAGCCTAGGTTTCACCTAGCCTAGCCTTATCTAGCCTAGGTTTCACCTAGCCTAGCCTTATCTAGCCTAGGTTTCACCTAGCCTAGCCCTATCTAGGCTAGGTTTCACCTTGCCTAGCCTTATCTAGCCTAGGTTTCACCTAGCCTAGCCTTATCTAGCCTAGGTTTCACCTAGGCTATTTATGTAGCCTAGGTGGGAATATTTTACACCTGTTTGAGGATGCACATTAAGTGTATACATTATCCTCACCTAATTGGAATGTAAAGAATGGGCTTCAGTTTGTTAGACATGGAAGTACTGGTCTGTACAATATGTATTATAATGCCCTTCTTCCGGTGTATTCCTTGCTGCTCTGGTCTCCATATATGTGCTTCGGGTTTTCACCTTCTCAGGTTTCTTAGAGTTTCTTTCGGGTCATAATTTCTACTTGGTCTCATTTGAGTTGTTTTCTGCTCCAGCAGTTAAAAGACTTGGTTTGTGACTCATTGGGTCTCCGGGCTGCATCTTGGGGCATTTTGGGTTTCCTGGTGTTGAAGGCTGTTTGGACTTTTCCATGGGGCTCTTTGGTCTTTTGGTTGGTCTCTGGCACTTGGGACGTTCTCTGGTTTGATGTGGGGGGGGGGGGGGGTGGGGGGAGGCTGAGGCTGAGTTTTGTGTTTTGGGTTCCCGCGTTTTTGCCTGCCCTCGAAGATTGTCTGGTTTGGACACCTAGCTGGTTGGTTTGTCTGCTAGCCAGGGTTCAGGGCTTTTTCCAGGTTGTCTTGATTGAATTTGGTCTAGGCCGCTAGTAAGGTGTTCCTTCCATGCTGCTCTGCTGGTCTTGGCTGGTGTATCATTTCTCTTTTGTAAGGGGCGCCCGGTCTCCTCATTGCCTGGCCGAGTGGTTGTGTGGCGGACTGCTTTGGCTGTATGGCCTTTATTCCCCGTTTCTCTGAGGGCCCTTTGGGCACTATCCCTGTTTGCCCCTGTGGTTCTGTTATCGCTGCTGCTCTCAATAGTATTCAGGGTTTGTTCCTCTCCTGGGCCCGGATTCACGAAGCAGTTACGCAAGCACTTACGAACCTGTACATCTTTTCTCAATCTTTGGCGGCTTTGTTTCCAACTATTAAACAGTTAATGAGCTCGGAAGCACCAGGAGGCTGTTTATAACAATAATAACAGTTGATTGGCAAGTTTTCATGCTTGTAAGCTGTTTAATAAATGTAACCAAAGCCGTCAAAGATTGAGGAAAGATGTACACGTTCGTAAGTGCTTGCGTAACTGCTTCGTGAATCTGACCCATGAGCTTTCTTGTTCTAACCTGTCCTCAGGGAGGAGGTATCCTGGAAGTAATCACTTCAATACCACTATAGAATTAGTGCAATTATCTACTCCTTATCCATGGTATGGTTAGGGTCAGTTCAAGTTAAGATTAAGATAGTTTAGATTTTGTTAAGTTTTGTTACATTTAATATGTTGTTGTTGTTTTTTGATTTAGCTACTCAGAACGAAGTGTCCATGTAGCACGGGCTATGGTGAGCCCGTAACAATATGGTGTATTATTCCCAAACATGTGAAATATGAAAATCGAAAACTATTTGAGTATGCCCTAGAATTTTAATTGCAGAAAATTATATTCTTCAAGCCATTTCAGAGAAAATGAGTTAAGCATACACTTAAACAAAAAAATCCAAAGATATATATGTGACTAAACTTGTGTGTGGTGCAGTAGATTATCAGTATCGCTGATTATCTTATGAATTATAAATATTACAATACATGACAATTACAGTATATTTGATTATTTATTTATATACAAGAAGGTACATGGGTTTGTGAGAGTACAGACTACAGAACATTGTTACTCTTTGTCCTTGGATATAAGCCTGACCAACCAGGCTGTGGTGGGTATGTGGGCCTGCGGGCCGCTCCAAGCAACAGCCTGGTGGACCAAACTCTCACAAGTCAAGCCTGGCCTCGGGCCGGGCTTGGGCAGTAGAAGAACTCCCAGAACCCCATCAACCAGGTATATGTGGGCCTGCGGGCCGCTCCAAGCAACAGCCTGGTGGACCAAACTCTCACAAGTCAAGCCTGGCCTCGGGCCGGGCTTGGGCAGTAGAACAACTCCCAGAACCCCATCAACCAGGTATATGTGGGCCTGCGGGCCGCTCCAAGCAACAGCCTGGTGGACCAAACTCTCACAAGTCAAGCCTGGCCTCGGGCCGGGCTTGGGCAGTAGAAGAACTCCCAGAACCCCATCAACCAGGTATATGTGGGCCTGCGGGCCGCTCCAAGCAACAGCCTGGTGGACCAAACTCTCACAAGTCAAGCCTGGCCTCGGGCCGGGCTTGGGCAGTAGAAGAACTCCCAGAACCCCATCAACCAGGTATATGTGGGCCTGCGGGCCGCTCCAAGCAACAGCCTGGTGGACCAAACTCTCACAAGTCAAGCCTGGCCTCGGGCCGGGCTTGGGCAGTAGAAGAACTCCCAGAACCCCATCAACCAGGTATATGTGGGCCTGCGGGCCGCTCCAAGCAACAGCCTGGTGGACCAAACTCTCACAAGTCAAGCCTGGCCTCGGGCCGGGCTTGGGCAGTAGAAGAACTCCCAGAACCCCATCAACCAGGTATATGTGGGCCTGCGGGCCGCTCCAAGCAACAGCCTGGTGGACCAAACTCTCACAAGTCAAGCCTGGCCTCGGGCCGGGCTTGGGCAGTAGAAGAACTCCCAGAACCCCATCAACCAGGTATATGTGGGCCTGCGGGCCGCTCCAAGCAACAGCCTGGTGGACCAAACTCTCACAAGTCAAGCCTGGCCTCGGGCCGGGCTTGGGCAGTAGAAGAACTCCCAGAACCCCATCAACCAGGTATATGTGGGCCTGCGGGCCGCTCCAAGCAACAGCCTGGTGGACCAAACTCTCACAAGTCAAGCCTGGCCTCGGGCCGGGCTTGGGCAGTAGAAGAACTCCCAGAACCCCATCAACCAGGTATATGTGGGCCTGCGGGCCGCTCCAAGCAACAGCCTGGTGGACCAAACTCTCACAAGTCAAGCCTGGCCTCGGGCCGGGCTTGGGCAGTAGAAGAACTCCCAGAACCCCATCAACCAGGTATATGTGGGCCTGCGGGCCGCTCCAAGCAACAGCCTGGTGGACCAAACTCTCACAAGTCAAGCCTGGCCTCGGGCCGGGCTTGGGCAGTAGAAGAACTCCCAGAACCCCATCAACCAGTATATGTGGGCCTGCGGGCCGCTCCAAGCAACAGCCTGGTGGACCAAACTCTCACAAGTCAAGCCTGGCCTCGGGCCGGGCTTGGGCAGTAGGAACCCCATCAACCAGGTATATGTGGGCCTGCGGGCCGCTCCAAGCAACAGCCTGGTGGACCAAACTCTCACAAGTCAAGCCTGGCCTCGGGCCGGGCTTGGGCAGTAGAAGAACTCCCAGAACCCCATCAACCAGGTATATGTGGGCCTGCGGGCCGCTCCAAGCAACAGCCTGGTGGACCAAACTCTCACAAGTCAAGCCTGGCCTCGGGCCGGGCTTGGGCAGTAGAAGAACTCCCAGAACCCCATCAACCAGGTATATGTGGGCCTGCGGGCCGCTCCAAGCAACAGCCTGGTGGACCAAACTCTCACAAGTCAAGCCTGGCCTCGGGCCGGGCTTGGGCAGTAGAACAACTCCCAGCACCCCATCAACCAGGTATATGTGGGCCTGCGGGCCGCTCCAAGCAACAGCCTGGTGGACCAAACTCTCACAAGTCAAGCCTGGCCTCGGGCCGGGCTTGGGCAGTAGAAGAACTCCCAGAACATCAACCATGTGGGCCTGCGGGCCGCTCCAAGCCCCATCAACCAGGTATATGCTTGGGCAGTAGAAGAACTGCGGGCCGCTCCAAGCAACAGCCTGGTGGACCAAACTCTCACAAGTCAAGCCTGGCCTCGGGCCGGGCTTGGGCAGTAGAACAACTCCCAGAACCCCATCAACCAGGTATATGTGGGCCTGCGGGCCGCTCCAAGCAACAGCCTGGTGGACCAAACTCTCACAAGTCAAGCCTGGCCTCGGGCCGGGCTTGGGCAGTAGAAGAACTCCCAGAACCCCATCAACCAGGTATATGTGGGCCTGCGGGCCGCTCCAAGCAACAGCCTGGTGGACCAAACTCTCACAAGTCAAGCCTGGCCTCGGGCCGGGCTTGGGCAGTAGAACAACTCCATGCACCCCATCAACCAGGTATCAACCAGGTATCAAAGCTGTATCAAAGCCTGGAGACTTCATCCTCAGAAGCATAGCTGCTCTAGAGAGAGTGCAACACCAGACAACAAAAATCATGCCAGAGGTAAGTCAACTGTGGCACCAGGAGCGGCTGAGGGCCACAGGGCTAACAACACTGTTAACCAGGCAACATAAATCATGCCAGAGGTAACGGTTGAGGGCCACAGGGCTAACAACACTGTTAACCAGGCAACATAAATCATGCCAGAGGTAACGGTTGAGGGCCACAGGGCTAACAACACTGTTAACCAGGCAACATAAATCATGCCAGAGGTAACGGTTGAGGGCCACAGGGCTAACAACACTGTTAACCAGGCATGAGATGGGAGATCTCATTGAAACTTATAGAATACTGAACAATTTGCTGAATGTTGACCCGGAGAATGTCTTCAAAAGGTTAGATGTAACACTAACAAGGAGCAGCAGTTACAAGCTCAACAAGCCACAATATTGGACTGAGAACACCAGATGCTTTTCCACACACAGGGTTATTAACCCATGGAACCGCCTACCCGCCACAGCCGTAAATGCCGAGACTTGAATTTCAAAATTCAACTTGAAAATATTAAAAAGGCAAATAGGGGCACCTTCAACAAGCCGCCGGCTTCCTGTCCTTGTCGAAGCCACTAGTAATAGTGGCCCTCAGGTAAATTCAGGCAATTCTTGCAAAACCACTAACAAGCACTCTGGCTTGGCCTGGTACGGTATGATAACTGAAATGCTTTGCGTAATACTGTAATGTATTCATTAATACAGTATATGTAACTCTTGTTCCTACAATTGTACATTACTCTTATGTTCCTTGTACACACATTATTTTAAATAAAGATTATTATTAATAATATGAGTAACAATACAGAATTTAAATGGTGATTTTTCCACAGGAGCATCTGCACAAGAAAGCTCATTCTGACCCACAGAAGAAACATATTGTCCAGATTGAGGAAAAGCTTCAACAGTTGCTTGAACTAGAAGCAGAGGTAGGTACAAAAAAGAATAATATATATACAGTATTGAGCTTATGAAATTCCATTTTATACCTTGAGAAGTCCAGATGTGACCCAGGAGATAATTGCTGTTTGTAGCAGGGGAAGGTGGCCAGGTAGCAGGGGAAGGTGGCCAGGTAGCAGGGGAAGGTGGCCAGGCAGCAGGGGAAGGTGGCCAGGTAGCAGGGGAAGGTGGCCAGGCAGCAGGGGAAGGTGGCCAGGTAGCAGGGGAAGGTGGCCAGGTAGCAGGGGAAGGTGGCCAGGTAGCAGGGGAAGGTGGCCAGGTAGCAGGGGAAGGTGGCCAGGCAGCAGGGGAAGGTGTCCAGGTAGCAGGGGAAGGTGGCCAGGCAGCAGGGGAAGGTGGCCAGGCAGCAGGGGAAGGTGGCCAGGTAGCAGGGGAAGGTGGCCAGGTAGCAGGGGAAGGTGGCCAGGTAGCAGGGGAAGGTGGCCAGGTAGCAGGGGAAGGTGGCCAGGTAGCAGGGGAAGGTGGCCAGGTAGCAGGGGAAGGTGGCCAGGTAGCAGGGGAAGGTGGTCAGGCAGCAGGGGAAGGTGGCCAGGTAGCAGGGGAAGGGTGGCCAGGTAGCAGGGGAAGGTGGCCAGGTAGCAGGGGAAGGTGGCCAGGTAGCAGGGGAAGGTGGCCAGGTAGCAGGGGAAGGTGGCCAGGTAGCAGGGGAAGGTGGCCAGGCAGCAGGGGAAGGTGGCCAGGTAGCAGGGGAAGGTGGCCAGGCAGCAGGGGAAGGTGGCCAGGCAGCAGGGGAAGGTGGCCAGGTAGCAGGGGATGGGTGGCCAGGCAGCAGGGGAAGGGTGGCCAGGCAGCAGGGGAAGGTGGCCAGGTAGCAGGGGAAGGGTGGCCAGGCAGCAGGGGAAGGTGGCCAGGCAGCAGGGGAAGGTGGCCAGGCAGCAGGAGGAGGTGGCCAGGCAGCAGGGGAAGGTGGCCAGGCAGCAGGGGAAGGTGGCCAGGCAGCAGGAAGAAGGTGGCCAGGGAGCAGGGGAAGGTGGCCAGGCAGCAGGGGAAGGTGGCCAGGCAGCAGGGGAGGTGGCCAGGCAGCAGGGGAGGTGGCCAGGCAGCAGGGGAAGGTGGCCAGGTAGCAGGGGAAGGTGGCCAGGTAGCAGGGGAAGGTGGCCAGGCAGCAGGGGAGGTGGCCAGGCAGCAGGGGAGGTGGCCAGGCAGCAGGGGAGGTGGCCAGGCAGCAGGGGAAGGTGGCCAGGTAGCAGGGGAAGGTGGCCAGGCAGCAGGGGAAGGTGGCCAGGTAGCAGGGGAAAGGTGGCCAGGCAGCAGGGGAAGGTGGCCAGGCAGCAGGGGAAGGTGGCCAGGCAGCAGGGGGAGGTGGCCAGGCAGCAGGGGGAGGTGGCCAGGCAGCAGGGGAAGGTGGCCAGGAAGCAGGGGAAGGTGGCCAGGCAGCAGGGGAAGGTGGCCAGGCAGCAGGGGGAGGTGGCCAGGTAGCAGAGGAAGGTGGCCAGGCAGCAGGGGGAAGGTGGCCAGGCAGCAGGGGAAGGTGGCCAGGCAGCAGGGGAAGGTGGCCAGGCAGCAGGGGAAGGTGGCCAGGTAGCAGGGGGAAGGTGGCCAGGCAGCAGGGGGAAGGTGGCCAGGCAGCAGGGGGAAGGTGGCCAGGCAGCAGGGGAAGGTGGCCAGGTAGCAGGGGAAGGTGGCCAGGCAGCAGGGGGAAGGTGGCCAGGCAGCAGGGGAAGGTGGCCAGGCAGCAGGGGAAGGTGGCCAGGCAGCAGGGGGAAGGTGGCCAGGCAGCAGGGGGAAGGTGGCCAGGCAGCAGGGGGAAGGTGGCCAGGCAGCAGGGGAGGTGGCCAGGCAGCAGGGGAGGTGGCTAGGCAGCAGGGGAAGGTGGCCAGGTAGCAGGGGAAGGTGGCCAGGCAGCAGGGGAAGGTGGCCAGGTAGCAGGGGAAGGTGGCCAGGCAGCAGGGGAAGGTGGCCAGGCAGCAGGGGGAGGTGGCCAGGCAGCAGGGGAAGGTGGCCAGGTAGCAGGGGAAGGTGGCCAGGCAGCAGGGGAAGGTGGCCAGGCAGCAGGGGAAGGTGGCCAGGCAGCAGGGGAAGGTGGCCAGGTAGCAGGGGGAGGTGGCCAGGCAGCAGGGGGAAGGTGGCCAGGCAGCAGGGGAAGGTGGCCAGGCAGCAGGGGAAGGTGGCCAGGCAGCAGGGGAAGGTGGCCAGGCAGCAGGGGAAGGTGGCCAGGCAGCAGGGGGAGGTGGCCAGGCAGCAGGGGGAGGTGGCCAGGCAGCAGGGGAAGGTGGCCAGGCAACAGGGGAGGTGGCCAGGCAGCAGGGGAGGTGGCCAGGCAGCAGGGGAAGGTGGCCAGGTAGCAGGGGAAGGTGGCCAGGCAGCAGGGGAAGGTGGCCAGGTAGCAGGGGAAGGTGGCCAGGCAGCAGGGGGAAGGTGGCCAGGCAGCAGGGGAAGGTGGCCAGGCAGCAGGGGAAGGTGGCCAGGTAGCAGGGGAAGGTGGCCAGGCAGCAGGGGGAGGTGGCCAGGCAGCAGGGGGAGGTGGCCAGGCAGCAGGGGGAAGGTGGCCAGGCAGCAGGGGAGGTGGCCAGGCAGCAGGGGAGATGGCCAGGCAGCAGGGGAAGGTGGCCAGGTAGCAGGGGAAGGTGGCCAGGCAGCAGGGGAAGGTGGCCAGGCAGCAGGGGGAGGTGGCCAGGCAGCAGGGGGAGGTGGCCAGGCAGCAGGGGGAAGGTGGCCAGGCAGCAGGGGGAGGTGGCCAGGCAGCAGGGGAAGGTGGCCAGGCAGCAGGGGAAGGTGGCCAGGCAGCAGGGGAAGGTGGCCAGGCAGCAGGGGGAGGTGGCCAGGCAGCAGGGGGAGGTGGCCAGGCAGCAGGGGGAAGGTGGCCAGGCAGCAGGGGGAGGTGGCCAGGCAGCAGGGGAAGGTGGCCAGGCAGCAGGGGAAGGTGGCCAGGCAGCAGGGGGAAGGTGGCCAGGCAGCAGGGGAAGGTGGCCAGGTAGCAGGGGAAGGTAGCCAGGCAGCAGGGGAAGGTGGCCAGGAAGCAGGGGGAAGGTGGCCAGGCAGCAGGGGAAGGTGGCCAGGTAGCAGGGGAAGGTGGCCAGGCAGCAGGGGAGGTGGCCAGGTAGCAGGGGAAGGTGGCCAGACAGCAGGGGAAGGTGGCCAGGTAGCACGGGAAGGTGGCCAGACAGCAGGGGAATGTGGCCAGCAAGCAGGGGGAGGTGGCCAGGAAGCACGGGGAAGGTGGCCAGGCAGCAGGGGGAAGGTGCCCAGGCAACAGGGGAAGGTGGCCAGGCAGCAGGGGGAGGTGGCCAGGCAGCAGGGGGAGGTGGCCAGGCAGCAGGGGAAGGTGGCCAGGCAGCAGGGGAAGGTGGCCAGGCAGCATGGGGAGGTGGCCAGGCAGCAGGGGAAGGTGGCCAGGTAGCAGGGGAAGGTGGCCAGGAAGCACGGGGAAGGTGGCCAGGCAGCAGGGGGAAGGTGGCCAGGCAGCAGGGGGAGGTGGCCAGGCAGCAGGGGGAGGTGGCCAGGCAGCAGGGAAGGTGGCCAGGCAGCAGGGGAAGGTGGCCAGGAAGCAGGGGGAAGGTGGCCAGGCAGCAGGGGAAGGTGGCCAGGAAGCAGGGGAAGGTGGCCAGGAAGCAGGGGAAGGTGGCCAGGCAGCAGAGGAAGGTGGCCAGGTAGCAGAGGAAGGTGGCCAGGCAGCAGAGGAAGGTGGCCAGGCAGCAGGGGAAGGTGGCCAGGAAGCAGGGGAAGGTGGCCAGGCAGCAGAGGAAGGTGGCCAGGCAGCAGGGGAAGGTGGCCAGGCAGCAGGGGAAGGTGGCCAGGCAGCAGGGGAAGGTGGCCAGGCAGCAGGGGAAAGGTAGCCAGGCAGCAGGGGAAGGTGGCCAGGCAGCAGGGGAAAGGTAGCCAGGCAGCAGGGGAAGGTGGCCAGGCAGCAGGGGAAGGTGGCCAGGCAGCAGGGGAAAGGTAGGCAGGCAGCAGGGGAAGGTGGCCAGGCAGCAGAGGAAGGTGGCCAGGCAGCAGGGGAAGGTGGCCAGGCAGCAGGGGAAGGTGGCCAGGCAGCAGGGGAAGGTGGCCAGGTAGCAGGGGGAAGGAGGCCAGGCAGCAGGGGGAGGTGGCCAGGCAGCAGAGGAAGGTGGCCAGGCAGCAGGGGAAGGTGGCCAGGAAGCAGGGGAAGGTGGCCAGCAAGCAGGAAGTGGTGATATTTAAGACTTTTGATGAAACTATCTTGCTGAGGTTTTTAATAATATCTCTTATCATCAGCTAAAGTCGGAAATTGCTGAAGTTGCCGAGGCAGTGGAGGAGGACGAGGAAGGTTCTGAGGAGAATGAAATAGAGGAGGAAGAGGAAGGGGAGCCAGCAGAGGATGAACCTGTAGAGGTTGATGAACCTGTAGAGGAAGATGGAGATGAACCTGTAGAGGAAGATGGAGATGAACCTTTAGTTGAAGAGAATCCCTTAGAAGAGACAGATGAAGAAGTAAATGCATTCTATGGAGGTAATGCTACTATACATATTTTTATTGTAATAAAGAAGTGCTCTGAAATAGGTAATTTTGGGATAGCTTAGTAATTCCCCTAGTGTGAGCTGTGTACCTGCAGAAGTTTTGGATTGTTCTCTATACCTAAAAATGCCATATAGCAGTCAATGCACCACTTGTCAACAGACTTATGGCAGTTTGTGTCCTGCATGGGTTAAACATCTGCAGGAATTTTAGCTACGTTGTACAAACAATGTCTGCACATTTCCCCAGAATCAAAAATCAACCACTGAGCAGTGTTGGTTCAAAGCAAGCCTGGTGGATGCAGATACAAAGCAGTCCTTGTGGCACTAGTAAAACACTCGCCCGATGCTTTGCAAGCGCTTTGGCCTGGGTTCGTTTCCTGGCTGGGGAGGATTGACCAGGCGCCAGTCCTTAACTGTAGCCTCTGTTCACCCAGCAGTGAATGGGTACCTGGATGTCAAATGATTTGGCGGGTTGTGTTCCAGGGAAAAATTAGGATTAAGGACCTGCTCGAAATGCTATGCATGCTAGTATCTTTACAAGAATGAAAACACTCTTGTATGGTATATATATATAAAAAGCAAAAACAAATAAGGTTATCTGACCACAGCATCAGAGTTCTCAACACAGCTTAGTTCTCTTTGCCTCAGTAAACCAAACAGAACTGTATCTAATGTGACCCATTATAATGGGGCAATCTTAGTAAAGCTTTTTTGCTAAGATTAAAAAAGATATTAAAACTTTCTTCGTATCTCTTTATTCAGGATATTTCTGATTTCTGAAATTATTTTGTCATTGTTTTCTGTACATGTTGTCTGCATAATCTAAGTGGGTCCTAACAAGAGCAAGATATAGTTGCAGAATAACATTAGATGTCTTATTGCTGACACTTTTGGGTAGAATCTCAATATGTCTAATCTTGTTATTTTGTATTGACAGATCCTTGTGCAGATATGTACTGCGGTGCTGGTCGCACGTGTGTTATAAATGATGCCGGTGAAGGCGAGTGCCGATGTGTTAATGTGTGCAGCGATGAGACTGATCCACGAAGAAGGGTGAGTTCTGAGTTGTGATCTCACAGGAGTGGTGAGTAATGAATCACAGTTTGCAAGTATATATTTGAGGTACTTGATAAATATAACCAGCGTTGAATGTAATGAAACGCCATTTTCTGGGTGAGTCCCGGAGGCTCCCCGGAGCTATCCCAGGCTGATATGCTAATGTCAGACTTTGGCATCAGTCATGTGTATGGAGTTCTTAGGCCTACCGGGGACCACGGCCAGAACCGGGCCCCCTCAGAGAGGCAAGGGGAGCAATGGCCTATAGAAGCCCCCATGTGGTTGGAAGCATTCTATGTCTGCCATCGACCGGAATAGGCACCCAGAAAGGTAAACGCCTCAAAACAAACTCCTATTCTGGTTAAAATTGCTACCAAAAGCCGAACTAGTGGATAGAACTCCCCAAAAGAAAACAAGCAAACTAGTGTGACGTCACGCGCCGCTGTCTGCGCAGCTCCCCCATCCCCGGGAGGGGGAAGGGGGAGCCCCAGACCCTCCATGCCAGCTACCTACACCTCAGTTCTTAAAGTTGGATGTCAAAAATGCAAAAAAAAATGCCGATCGGAGGGAGGGAGGGATGCCGGGGAGCCTCCGGGACTCACCCAGAAAATGGCGTTTCATTACATTCAACGCTGGTTTTCTGGGGGGAGCCCCGTCGGCTCCCCAGAGCTAACTACCCACAGACGGAAAAAGAGGGACTTACCCGGGAGGCGGTCGTCGCTCACTCCTCAACTCGAAGCAGAGACAACTGGCTGCAACCGCCGACCCAAAGCAACACAGGCCCAATGGGGCCCCGGGACATTCACAAGGTAACGAGCAGCCAGGACCCTGTTCGACCGCCAAAATCCCCACGCCCGAATATCAGACCAAGACATATTCCCAAAGACGGCAGCAAGAGCTGCGAACTTACGAACGTCATGGGCACGGGAATAGACCGCAGGCTGGCTGGACTTAATAACCCTGCGGACGACCTGGGAGACCCGAACCCGCAAACAGGGAAGAAGGGAAACCGGATTAACCCACAGCGCGTCCCCGGACACAGAAGCCGTGGCGCGCAAATAACGGCAAAGCGCAGCAACCGGACACAAAACATGATGCACCCCCGGCCTGACCAACCAAGCATCAACCACCCATGGACCCCTCCGGACCGCAGCAGTCTCATTTTTTGCCAGAAAAGAAGGAGACGGCTGCAAGTGAACAAAACAATCACCACGACCAAAAGAGCAGAAACCCCTGCACCAGAGGAGAGCATGAAGCTCCCCAACCCGGCCCCCAGAGGCCAAAGCCAACAAGAAAAGTGCCTTGGAAAAACAATCCTGGACCGAAGGGGCCACAACGAAATGAGGAGACGAAAGTAAAGCGAGCACTCTGTCCAAAGACCAGGACGGCTCAGGCGGTGCATGAGCAGGCCGGAGGTGAAACAATGCACGAGACAGCTTGCGAAACGGCGCAGACGTAACATCGATACCGAAGGCAAGCTGAAGCGGCTCCGCCAGCGCCGCACGATACGAGGCGACAGTGTTAGGCATAAGATGACGATCCTGAAACAACCACGAGAAGGAGGACAAGACCACCCGAACAGACAAGGAACTAACCCGACGAAGACGCAAAAAGAAACAGAAGGACCGCCAGGAAACTTCATACTGCCGCCGAGAAGAAGCCCTCAGGTGGGATATCAACAAGGAGGCCACCTGATCACCATAGAGATGATGATAGACTCGAGTCAAAAAACCCATACACGAAGACTCGAGGAGAAGATCGAAACAGCCACGTGAAGTACCGGCCCAATTTGTTGAAAGAGGCGGAGCCGCGGGAAAACCCTCGGGTTCGGACACCGAGCAACCAGCGCCTGAAGCCAAGGCTGGGCCGGCCACCAAGGAGCCAGAAGGACAACTCTCCCCTGGTAAGTCTCTAAGCAAGTCAGGACCTGGAGCAACAGCCGAACTGGGGGAAAGAGGTACAGGAACCCCCACCTCGACCAGTCTAGATGAAAGGCGTCGACCCCGACGGTCTCACGACCGGGGAAGGGCGCCGCATAAACGGGAAGACGCAGCGACCACGCGGACACGAAGAGGTCCACCTCGGGGTGCCTGAACGTCTGGCAAAACCAATGGAAGGACTCATCGTCGACCGTTCACTCCGTGGAGAGGGGAATGAAGCGAGACAGGGCGTCTGCCAAGACGTTGGACATGCCCTGTACGTGAACCGCCAGGAGAGCCAAACCCCGAGAACTCAGCAGACGAGTCACCCGAAGCGACCAACCCCAAAGAGACATGGACTGCATCGAATCCCCGCAGTTCAGGCAATGAACCACCGGAGAGCAGTCCGAATGGAGCCGAATCGTCGATCCACGGGCCACCCGAATCCTCCCCAGAGCAAACCACACTGCCGCAAACTCCCGCACCGTGCTGTGAGCTCGACGGAAGGACGGATCCCAACACCCCTGGCCGGCCTAGTGAGCACTGGTCACAAAACCCCAGCCGAGAGACGACGCATCCGTGTACACATCGAGCGAGGGCTAGGGTAGGCACCAAGGCACTGAACCCCGAAAAACCAGAAGAGGAAGCAGGTGACGCAGCAACCGACACAAGGCCCCCGGGGGTCGAACTCTGCGATCGTGAGAGAGGTGGAAGGGGGGACTCCGAAGGAATCAGAACAGCTGACGAAGCCAAACCCGACCCGGCCGGTAGACCACCATCGCGAAGTTCAGGCTCCCGCACAGCCCTTCGAGCAACTGCCGGGTGACCCGAGGGCCCACCAGAAACAGATGAAGGCGGGACCGCAGCAGCAGGAGAGACTCCGGAGGGAGAGACTCCGGAGGGAGAGACAAGGAGGCGGTTCGAGAGTCCCAAACGAGACCCAACCAAGTCCGAACCTGAGAGGGAACCAGATGGGACTTCCTCCAGTTTACCAAGAACCCGAACCCGGCGAGCTGGGAAAGAACCAAATCCCTGGCTAGCAAGCAAGCTGACCGGCTGAGAGCCCAAACCAGCCAGTCGTCGAGGTAGGCCAACACCCGAATACCTAGGAGACGCAAACGAGCCACCACAACCCGAGTAAGACGCGTGAACATGCGAGGTGCCAGGTTCGACCCGAACGGGAGACAACGAAAGCGGTAACTCAGATGCCCCACAACAAAACCGAGCCAATCCCTGAACCGTGGATGAATCGTGACATGCCAATAAGCATCCCAGAGGTCCAGGGACGCCATCCATGCGCCCGGCTCCAAGAGGAGCCGAACCTGAGACAGCATAGTCATCCGAAAGGAGGGGTAATGAACCCAGGGGTTCAGACGGGACAAGTCCAGAATGAACCGCAGGTCCGCGCAGTCCCGTTTCGGAACCGGAAACAGACGGGAAACCCATCTAAGGGACGACGTCGTTTGGATTACGTCCAAGCGTACCCACTCAAAGACGACTCGACAGAGCGCAGGGGAAGAAACTTGCCCTACCAGCCCCGACCCCCCCCCCCAAGGGGGAAGGGGCCACCCAACGCTACCGCAGGCCACGAGACACGACCCGAAAGGCCCACGAATCGTGGGACCAGGCGCGGGCGAACAGTGCAAGCCGCCCCCCCATCGCCCCGTCAATGGGGCAAACCGCGAAAGGGCCGGCGACCCTTACGAGACCCAGAACCCCGCACAGAGCGAACACCATGCCGACCAGACGAGGGAGAGTCCGCAGGAGGAGCCGAACCCGAACCTGACACCAGAGGCCTACCACGACGAGAGGAACCCTGAGCCCTGGCACGACCCTTCCGGGGAGACCCACCCCGGGACCCCCGGAAAACCACCAAGTCCGACATCGGACGACAAGCTGCCGACGCAGCCTGAATAAACTGCGCCACGGCCGACTCCTTAAATAGAAGAGGACAAAAAGGTGAAGAACGCCTAAGAGCCAGAGCCCAAGCAGATTCCACGGAGGAACCCAGCACCGCCTGCCGACACGCGAGACGGGAAGCATAAAACAGGGAAACCGCATCCCGCAAAATGCGGCGTGAACAGCTTCAACAAGGCAGCCGACGAACGCGCAGCCGAGGACAAGGTGCCGGACCCCGGGACGGACCCAAGCGTCCCCACATCCTCCACGAGCCAATCCGAAGACAGCTCCAGGAGGGAAAAGAACCGCAAGGCCGAACACAAAAGGCCCCGGGCACGCAAGTCCTCCGCCACGAGCGCCGCCGAATGGGTGGGAACCTGCACATGGAGCTGAATAATGCCCACATCGCGGGGAAGGGCAAAGACAAACAAGCACTCATTCAGGTACTCAAGCTCGCCCCCCAGGAAAACCTGAAGCACCATGGAAGCTTCCCGCCACTCCAGCGTGCGGGAACAACAGAAGGAATGCCAGGAATCCAGAACAAACAAGGGGCAGTCTGCTAGCCAGGAAGACTCCTGAACCTCGTAACGGAGCCAGAAAGGGAAAGAAGTCCCAAACCTGAACTCAGACGGATCCATTTCCGAGGCATAATCCGGGTCACGCAGGAGGTAAGCTGCAAAGGCCGCTCGCACCACACCAGGTTGGATGCGCTAAGCAGAAAACCTCCGGAAGGACGGAACCGACGTACCCGGGGGAACACGGAACCGAACCCGGGGAGAGGCCGACACCAAATCCAACTCGTACGCAGAGGGGGGAAAAGAAAATCCCACTCCTTGTAACAATAAGCCCCACTCAGAGGGAAGAAATACCCAGGCAGGGTCCAGCGGGGCCCAAGGCCTTCAAGTCAGCCCCTCCCCCAGCCTCGAGGTCCTTCATCACAGGACCCGAGGCCGAGTCCTCTCCCCAAGCCCCGACCCCACAAGACAAGGACGGAGCAGCCGGAAAAGCTGGAGGAAGGGGGGCCCACTGGTCAGACCCAGAAGCTTCGGCCGGGAGACAAGACTCGAATGCCTCTGCCGGCCCCCCGGAAGGGGCAACCCCTGAAGGTGCCCGAATCTCAAGATCAAGTAACCCCTGCTCCGATCCCGAAACCCTCAGACGCTTCGGGGACGTAAGCAGGGGGGAGGGGGGACCAGAACGAACAGAAGGGGATGGACGAGGAGGTGCGGACTGAACCAGGATCGAAGCGACCCCCACCCCCAAGTCCGGGTCTCGAAAAGCAAAGTGGGACAGCCCTGGGGCATCTGGGAGAGCAACCAACCGAGCGCATTGCAACAGACGAAACCTAGACTGCAACGCACGCGCCGCCTGTACCCGAAGAGAATCATCAGAGGATTGGGTAAATTGAGTCACAAGCAAGCAGCAACACTCACAGGACTCAGGGTCGAAAGTATCACCGACCCAACAGGCAGCGTGGCAGAGGCAAAAACAATGAGGGTCACCCTGAGATAAGGGGACCGAGCAACCCTCAAACTTGCACACAGAGAGTAGGGACTCCAGGGTCACATCCATCGGACCCACGCGCCCCCTAGGGGATTCCCAGGGTCCGAGCGTTTACTTTAAGAGGACTCGTGCTCAGGTAGTCCCAGGCAGGGTGCTGCAAACCAGCGCCCAAAACTACCAAGCGAACTTCTATAGCTGTACCCCAGGGACGTGTACACTCACGGGGACCCAGCAGGGGGCGCCACCGAGGAGAACAGTGGAAGGGCAAAAACAAACTTAATAAAACTACAGAACCCCCCACCAAGCAAAAAGAAAAAGAAAAACAAAACCCCGCAAGAGGACAGCGAACCCCAAGGAACAGAGCCGGCCGCTATGTCGGGAATACAAGCTGTGCAGCACCCTGCGCCCCTACCAGTGCAAACTGCCTCTTACCTGCCGGTAACAAGGGAGAACAGAACACCCAAGAGCCCAACAGGCGGCCGAAAAACCGAAAGGTAAAACGGACCAGCAGAGGCAGACCCCAAGGAGCCTGTGTATGGTGGCCCCAAGCACCAAGGGCAGTACTTACAGGGCACCTAAGGAAGGCAGCCCTAGGCGCATGCAGCCCGAGTACTGAAGATAACTCCTGGCTCTCGCACCCACAAAACAAACACCACACGCAAAGCACAGTGCAGTAGTGACACCGGAGCCAGAGCACACGACCTTCACCTATAGCATCAGCCTCAAGAACTGAGGTGTGGGTAGCCGGCGTGGAGGGTCTGGTGCTCCCCCTTCCCCCTCCCGGGGAGGGGGGAAGCTGTGCAGACAGCTGCGCGGCAACGTGTGACATCACACTAGTTTGTTTGTTTTCTGTTGGGGAGTTCTCTCCACTAGTTCCGCTTCTTGGTAGCAATTTTAACCGGAATAGGGGTTTGTTTTGAGGCGCTTACCTTTCTGGGTGCCTGTTCCGGTCGATGGCAGACATAGAATGCTTCCAACCACACGGGGGCTTATAGGCCATTGCTCCCCTTGCCTCTCTGAGGGGGCCCGGTTCTGGCCGTGGTCCCCGGTAGGCCTAAGAACTCCATACACATGACTGATGCCAAAGTCTGACATTAGCATATCAGCCTGGGATAGCTCCGGGGAGCCGACGGGGCTCCCCCCAGAAATAGCGTGGAAACCATATTTTAAAAATTTCTTGTGGAACTATCCATCCTTGAGGGAATGTTTTTATATAAGAATTTCAGGCTATATTCAAGAGTTAAGGAAATTCTTGAAATAACTATTAATAAAGTGTGTCAATTTTGTTATTGTGTAATTAAGCCAAATGTCTGAGGGTCGCAATGAGGAAATAATTTGTGGGAAGACTGAGAGTAGAAAACAAGGCAGCACAATTAAGAGAAACACAAACTTAAAAACAATGAGAGGTTTTATCTTGTATTTAGTAATAACCTTATTTATGGGATTTACTCTCATTAATGCATAATTTTGCTAATGTCTGTCAAGTTGTACACCTCAACGTCGTGTAGCACCATTCATACTGTATTGTCACTCCACTGCTATTTTAGTGATACCATCTATCCTCACAAACTTTCATTACATATCTCTATACTTGTGTTCTTCTTGGAGTGGCCTCTGATACTGGGTTCAGTATTCTGCAAATTTCACTTCACCTGCTATAAGTGCCATTACCCAAGGGTTTGCATAATCAGAAATATTAGGGTCTCGGAGAAATTCCTCATCTATAATAATATAATAATAATAATAATAATAATAATAATAATTTTTATTTAGGTAAGGTACATACATAAAGAGATTTTACAAAGTTTGTTGGCTTTATAGATAGAGCTAGTACATACAATGCCTAAAGCCACTATTACGCAAAGCGTTTCGGGCAGGAAAAACATTAATGACTAAAGCTTAAAACTAATGGGTAAAAAGAATAAGATGTGTTGAGTACAAATAAAAATAGAGGTAAAAGAGGGGGGAACATTGTTGAAAAAGCAGCACAAATACAATTACAAATTATTACAGAAAATTACATTCAAACAGCGTTGATTTGAAAAAAAAAAAAAAAAAAAAAAAAAAAAAAAAAAACATACATGGGTTGACAATAGAAGGGTAAGGTAGGTTACAGGGAATTTATTAGGTATAGCTTCGTTTTTAACTTAAACTGGTTGAGAGAGGTACAGTCTTTAACATGGTTGGGAAGGTCATTCCACATTCTGGGCCCCTTGATTTGTAGAGCATTTCTGGTTTGATTAAGTCGTACTCTAGGAATATCAAAACTGTATTTATTTCTGGTGTGGTGCTCATGGGTTCTGTTACAACCTTCTATGAAGCTTTTGAGATCAGGATTGGCATTATAGTTTAGCGTTTTATATATGTATAATACACATGAGAGAATGTGCAGTGACTTAATGTCTAACATATTCAGAGATTTGAGTAGGGGTACCGAGTGATGTCTGGGGCCAGAATTGGATATTGTCCTAATAGCAGCTTTGTGTTGAGTAATTAGAGGACGTAAGTGATTTTGGGTAGTAGAGCCCCAAGCACAAATACCAAATATCTGGTCACTGGCAATAAGTCACAGGGACCCTCCCCTTTAAACAATTGAAACAATTGCTTGGCAAGGTTAGTTACTGCTTTTTCCTCTACCCAAATCTGTCTTTATTGCTTTTGTATGCACCTTGAATTATATATTAAGCTGCAATTCAGGAGATTTACCAGTGGTAGCATGACTAGTTTTCTGTTGGTTATAAAAAATCTACAAAAGTTTTGTGTTAATAGAACCTCTTGTAAACTAATGTAGCCCTTCGTTTAAGGATCTTACTGCTCTCTCGGCAGGCCTATTGTAGGAGGATTATATGGAGCAGGTGTTACATGTTTTATTCCATTTCCCTAAACAATGACTCTATTTCACCAGACACAAAATAAAGAATTATTCTAAGAAGAAGAAAGAAGTCTGGCAATCTAAAATTACAGAATATTCTCCTTAACAATTCACTTGTTACAGATGATGTTGAACATCCCAAAATTTAGTTTATGAATCTGCAGTCACTAAATAATGTTTATTATCCGTAGGTCCAGCCTAATCTACAGGAACCTAACATAAGTACAGTAAAACTAAATGCCACAAATCACACTAAACCCTAACACCTCTCAGTTTGCATTAACCAGATTCAGACCAAGTCATAGTTATATTTCTATAGATTAAAAGTAATTACATAAAAATATGTAAGTCATAGTTACAGGTGTTTAACAACTGGTGATTTATGAAAAACTAAATATTGTCTCCTTATAGGTGTGCAGTAATCACAATGAGACCTGGATGTCCGACTGTGAGCTCTACCGCCAACGTTGTCTCTGCCAAGAGGGTGATGAAAGCTGTCGCAAACCAGAATATACCCACGCTCACATTAACTATTATGGAGAATGTCAAGACCTTCCTGTAAGTATTTGTGCATTTATAATTTAATAAAGTTTAGACATTTGTAGCAGAGAGCAAAGTTGTGAGTGAGATAATGTTTATTGCTATAGATATGAGTACCCTTTGCATATACTGTACTGAATAGTACACTCATACCCCATTTAATGTGACAGATGAATTCCTTGATACTAGTGTGTTAAATGAATTAGCACTACACTGGGTCGTTATTGCATAGTCCCATTGGAGGTACCCACATCGTAATTTATTATTAACACCTAAAATATTTGGTGTTTATTGAATTGGGAGAGATGAGAGTTACTAGACAGGAAGATGGGCCAAGTTGTGACCCATTATCAAAAACATGAACCAGATTCACAATTTTGCCCAGAGGAGTTTTTTGTAGTAGGAGATTGTATAAACAACAGTTCTCTTCATTCAGTGCTGTGGTCAAAATCTGAGTAATTTCAGTAAATAGATCCAGGTGTATCAATGATTTTATTGATGTCTTTTGTCAAAACTCTGATGGAAAGGTTTCTTTTTGGTACATGTCCGTTTCTGGGGGGAGCCCCGTCGGCTCCCCGGAGCTTTACCGGCTGATATGCTAATGTCAGACTTTGGCATCAGTCATGTGTATGGAGTTCTAGGGCCTACCGGGGACCACGAGCCAGAACCTGGCCCCCTCAGAGAGGCAAGGGGAGCAATGGCCTATAGAAACCCCCGTGTGGTTGGAAGCATTCTATGTCTGCCATCGACCGGGTCAAGCATCCAGAAAGGTAAGCATTCCAAAACAAACCCCTATTCTGGTGAAAATTGCTACCTAAGCCGAACTAGTGGATAGAACTCTTCAACAGAAAACAAGGAAACTAGTATGACGTCATACGTCACCGCGCCGCTGTCTGCGCAGCTCCCCCCTCCCCGGGAGGGGGAAGGGGGAGCCCCAGACCTCCCACGCCGGCTATCCACCCATCAGTTCTTCGGCTGATGCTATAGGCAATGGTTATGTGCTCCGGCTCCAGTGGTTGTTTCAGCACTGTACCTAGAGTGTGGTGTCTGTTTTCTAGGTGGTGCGTGAGCCGGGAGTGATTCTTCAGTACTCGGGCTGCATGCGCCTAGGGTTCCCTTCCCTAGGTGCCCTGTAAGTACTGCCCTTGGGGCTTGGGGCCACCTTCCACAAGTTCCTTGGGTCCTGCCCCTGCTTGGCCGTTTACTGCTTGGTTTTCGGCCGCTCTTTGTGTGCTCGGGTGTTCTGTCTCCCTTGTTCGCCTTAGAGTAAGGGGCAGTGTTTGCACTGGTGGGGCGCGGGGTACTGTGCAGCTTGTCTTTACCAATTATAGCGGCCGGCTCTGTTCCGCTTGGGTACGCTGTCCTCTTGCGGGGTATTCTTTTTCTTTTTGTTATCTACCTGGTGGGGGGGTCTGCCTTCGTTCTTGCCCCTTGTGTCCCTTGTGTTCTGAGTATTTTCTGGTGGTGCCCCCTGCTAGGTCCCCGTGAGTGTACACGTCCCGGGGGTTCAGCTCTTAGAAAGTTGTTTGGTAGCTTTGGGTGCCGGTTAGCAGTACCCTGCCTGGGACTACCTGAGCGCGAGTCCTCTTAAAGTAAACGCTCGGGACCCTGGGAAACCCCTGGGGGCGCGCGGGTCCGATGGATGTGACCCCAGAGCCCCCCCCTCGCTTCCAGCGAGTTTGAGGGTTGCTCTCACCTTTTGTCTCTGTGTGACTCTCTGTTTTGCCTCCGTCTGCTGCCTGTGGGGTCGGTGACACCTTCGACCCGGAGTCCTGCGAGTTTGGTTGCTCGTTGTGGCTCGGTTACCCAGTTGTGCTAACACAGCGGGTGCGGGCAGCAGGGGCGTTGCACTTGAGCCTTGGTGGTGGCAACGTTCTCGTGGTTTCCTCCCCGGGAGCCCTGGGGCTGCCCCGTTGTAGTTCGTTTTGGGACTTGGGGGTGTTGGTTGCTTCGGTTCCATCCACGCCCCCTTGTCTTTCCCCCTGGTTCACCCTTCCTGCCTGCATCCGGTTCCTTACGGTCTGTAGGTTCGGGGCGGGGTTTTTGGTGGTGTTGAGACTCGGGCAGTCTCGGGGAATTCCCCTTCCGGGGTAGTGACGGGGGCATTTGGGCCTTTTCCGCCAGCCGTGTTGTATGAGTCTGCCAGTGGGCTCCCTTCCTTAGTGTTTTCACGGCTGCCCCGGTTTTCTGGTACGGCCGGGGCTTTGGGGGAACGGCTCGGCCCCGGGGCCTGTCGTGTAGGTTCCCGGGGCTGGGGAGGGGCTGACTTGGGGGGGCCTTGGCCCCGTTAGACCCCGTGGGGGTTTTTATCCCCCTCTAGGCGGGGCTTGTGGTTACGCGGAGTGGGGTCTTTCCTCCCCACTCGCCGTACGTGCTGTTGGACGTCGGCCCCTCCCCGGGCTCGGTTCCTTGGCCTTTGAGTCGGTTGGTTCCGTCCTGTGGGTGGATGTTTCCTCCCCCCCCTTTTTGGGACGGTGTTTTTGTCATGTTTCCCTGTTCGATGGGGTTCTGCGTGACTTCTGATCTCGTGCGCCTGCGCCTTCGTATGCCTTCGGGACTAGTGTTGGCTTCTGTGTTCTCGAGGGTACGGGAAGGTTTTTCGCTACTTCCCGCATTATTGGAACGTCTGTCGGCTCCTCGTACTTGTCGCCCTGTTGGGCTACTTGTCGCCCGGTTGGGCTACTTGTCGCCCGGTTGGGTTCCTTTTTGGGCTCTTTGCTTCTTTGGCCGGTTTTCTTGTTCCTGCTTCCTCTTTTGGCTTCTTTTTCTCGTGCAGTAGTCCTGGCTGGCGCCTTCCCGCGGGGAGGGTGTGCGGTTCGGCCAGCGTGTTATGCGCATGCGCTGTGGAGTTTGTTTTGGTCTGGGCGGTGTTTCAGTGCTGGGGTTTTGCGCCCCTTTTTTGCTACAGTGCTTCGCCTCTCGTTCTTCTCCCTGGCTGCGGTATGTGCCCCTTCGCGCCGGGGGTGTCCTGGTTCCCTGTTGTGGGGAGGACACCGCGGTTTTCCCTGTGTCATGGGTGTGGACCGCCTCCTTCGCCTCTCCCTGTTCTCCTGCGGGTCCGGCAGGGTCCGGCTCTGGCGTCTTCACCTGGCGGTGCTTCCCAGTTCTTCTGGGCACGGTTGAGTCATGTCAAGTTCTTGCCACCATTCGCCAGGTGAGTTTCTGCAGTCTGGCGTCTTTTGGCCGGGCGCTGGATGCGGCGGTGTTTATATACCTGTCTTTATTTAGGTATATTTTTGTACGACTGAGACCGTTCGCACACCAGTGACTGTCCCTTATCACCCTTTCCTGTCCCCCTCCTGTGCATGTCCAACCCATGCTGGTGTCATTCAGGGGACCCTCCTTTTTTAATGTTGTGAGGTGTCGGGGTTGTAGGGTTGGTTCTGTATTCACCTGGTGAGGCTCCTGGCTGTGCTTGCAGGATTTGAGCTCTGGCTCTTGGGTCCCGCCTATCTGGTAGAACTTGCGGGATAGTACCAGTGGAGTGCAGTGGTGCTATTGGCACTTTTGGGGAACACTGTATTACCATCAGTGGTCTGTGCTTGTTACACGACCTACTTGCGAGCATAAGCCTTCTTGCTGGTTCGTCCGTGGACTTCCAGGGCGCACTGGCCTGTTTTCGTATGGCAGTTCCGGCCCGTCCTGGTTGTGGGGGTATGTGGGCCGGTGGACTGCTCCTAGCAGCTGCCTGGTGGGCCATCCTCTGGCCGGTCTGGCCTGGCCTTGGGCCGGGCTTCAGGTGTAAAAGAGCTCCCAGTACCTCATCCAGCAGGTATCGAGCGGGGTTTCTCCGCCGTCGGTCGCCTGGTGCAGGTTTCTGGGCCTGCTAGGTTTTTGTCGTGTCTCCGTTGGCCCTGTCTGGGGTCTGCCTGCTCCGTTCTCTGCCTTTGCAGAGGGGAGTTGCTATTTACATGTTGCATGTTGCAGTGGTGCCTGTTGCTGCTGCTGCACGTGTGCATTGGTTCCGTGTTTCACGATGGCGTGTCCTTGTTCCTGTGTCCGGTTGTGGAGTGGCACTTTGCTGCCGTTTTGTGCCTGGGGATTGCGTGCGGTTTTTGTCCCTGCCTGATTGTCCGCCCCTGGTTGTTCTCCTGGGGTTTTTTGGTGCTTCTGCTCTTTCTTCCTGCCTCCTCTGCAGCAGGGATGTTCTGCGTGTGTTCTTAGGCGTTGGTCAGCCTGTGTCCTGTGATGTGCTTCTTTGTCTCGGTCTATTGCAGTTGTTCGTGCCCCTTGGTTCGGGTCCTGTTCTGGCGGCGACCCTTCCGCCTTCTTTGGTTTTCCTAGCTTGCCCTGCCGGTTGTTTTTTTTTTTTTTTGGGTGGGGGGGTTCTTGCGATGTCTCGCGTTGGACCCGTCGTTTCAGAACTCCTGGCGGGCTTGCATGCTTTGGGGAGTTTTTCTGTTCGGCAGACGTTCCATCTCCTTGTGCCGCCTGGGTTTCGGTGGTCGCGCCCGAGATCTTCTCGCGGCTCCGCCTTTTTCCTGGGCTCGGGGGGGGGGCCTTGTCGGGGCTGCTTATGTTCTGCCTTGTGGTCTCGCCTCCGGTTGGTGGTCGGGTGGCTTCGTGGTAGGTGTCCCACCTGCGTGCTTCTCTTGGCGGCAGTATGGGTATTTTGGCGGTCCTTCCTTTTCCTGTCCCTTCTTAGGTGGTTACTCTTGTTGGCTTGGTTTACTCTCAGCTTGGTTTTCTAGTGGGGGTTGGGGGCCGTCGTTTTGCCACATACTGTCGCCTCTTTTCGTGCGGCGCAGGCAGAGCCGCTTCAGCTTGCTTTCGGTCTTGGTGTTGCTTCTGCACCGTTAGTCAGCTGTCTTGTGCGTCGTTTCACCTCCGGCCTGTTCGTGCGCCGCTTGCACCATCCTGGTCTCTGGTCAGCGTGCTCTGTCTTCTCGTCGGTTGGTAGGGCCCCTTCGGTTCCGGTGTGTTTTCGTCGGCTCTTTCCTTTGGGCCTTTGCCTCTGGGGGTCGGTTCGCTGAGTTTTCTTGCTCCTTCGGTTTTAGCGTTTTGGTTGTTTGATGGCAGCAGTCTCCATCTTTTCTGGCGCGGGGTGGGGCTGCTGCATTCTGGAGGGGTCCAGGGTTTGTTGGTGCTTCGTTGGTCGGGCCGGGGGTGTGTCGTTTTTGTGTTCAGTGGCGGCCCTCCGCTGTTGTTTGCGTGCCACGGCGTTTGGGTCCGGAGCGCGTTTTGTGTTGATCTGGTTCTGTTCTTCCCGGTTCGCGGGTGATGGTGTCCCGGGTGGTCAGCCGTGTTCTTGCGGCTAAGCTGCCTGTGTTCTTCCCTCATGCCTGTGGCGTTCGTGGCTTCGCTGTTCTCGCTGCCGTCTGGGCGACGTGGCCTTGCAGTCTTCCGGGCATGGATTTTTGGTGTTCGTGCAGGGGCCTTGCTGCTCGTGGTTCTCGTGTTGTTCCCGGGATTTTCGGGGCTGTGGCGGCTTGGGTTGGCGTTTGCTGCCGGTTGTCTCGCCTCCTTGGGGGGTGCGTGGTGTCCGCCTCCCGGTTTTGTCCCTTTGACCTTCCTCTGTGGGTAGTTAGCTCCGGGGAGCCAATGGGGCTCCCCCCAGAAAACCAGCGTTGAATGTAATGAAACGCCATTTTCTGGGTGAGACCCGGAGGCTCCCCGGCAACCCTCCCTCCCTCCGGTCGGCGTTTTTCGCGTGTTTTGACATCCAACCTCAGAACTGATGGGTGGATAGCCGGCGTGGGAGGTCTGGGGCTCCCCCTTCCCCCTCCCGGGGAGGGGGGAGCTGCGCAGACAGCGGCGCGGTGACGTATGACGTCATACTAGTTTCCTTGTTTTCTGTTGAAGAGTTCTATCCACTAGTTCGGCTTAGGTAGCAATTTTCACCAGAATAGGGGTTTGTTTTGGAATGCTTACCTTTCTGGATGCTTGACCCGGTCGATGGCAGACATAGAATGCTTCCAACCACACGGGGGTTTCTATAGGCCATTGCTCCCCTTGCCTCTCTGAGGGGGCCAGGTTCTGGCTCGTGGTCCCCGGTAGGCCCTGGAACTCCATACACATGACTGATGCCAAAGTCTGACATTAGCATATCAGCCGGTAAAGCTCCGGGGAGCCTCCGGGTCTCACCCAGAAAATGGTGTTTCATTACATTCAACGCTGGTTTTTTAGAGTCATTACCATCTTCAGTGAAATGCTGCTGCTCAAGCTCTACCTTCATTGGTAAGAATGATGTAGTTCCTGCACATTATTTATCATAATGTGCTTCTCACAGTTCCAACCTGAAAATGGCCCATGGATCAACTCTTGATTCCCAGCACCGCCTCGAGTCATGCAGGAGTACCGACATCACAGAGCTTCTTGAGACCTCCTGTCAAATTCCAGTTTACTAAATCTTCCTCCTAGACGTTGTCCAGTAGCTCCTCTACATTGCCTCTCAAGTACTGCTTTGAGTAATGTCCCTTCTGGTGGCTTAAAACACACCAATATAGGACCAATATGTGACATGACCTGTCACGTCCTTCCCTAGGTAGCTAGTGACAGCAGTCAAAGTTTCTGCCATACAGCTCGGGCATTGACTAAGTCATGCCATGGGCACTCTTGGTTGGTCAAACTGGACACACCACAGCATCCGACCAATCAGAATTTCCAAAACCAGGAGATATCATGTCACCATTGCATTGTTCTTGTGGTCCAGTATTCACATTAAACATTGTGGCCTATGGTCCAATGTTCACAATACACACACTGTTGCAATTGGCACAGTGTTTGCATCAGGCAATGTGGCCAGTAGTTCAGTGTTCACATTACACATTCTGGCCAGAGTCAAAATGTTCATATTAAGCATTATGGCTAGTGTCCAGCATTCATATTAGGCATTGTGGCCACTGGCACAATGTTCACATTAAGCATTGTGGCCATGGTCTAGTGTTCACATTATCGCTTGTTGGCCATTGTTCACATTAGGCATTGTGGCCAGTGGTCCAGTGTTCACTTTAGGCACTTGTGTAGTAATTGGATCAGCAGTAATTTACTAATGTGTGTTTGTGTCTTGGGAATAAAATTGGGAATTAAAGTCAGGCTGCATTCATTGCTTATTTATTTTTCCGTAGGGCACGGTTTTGCTGCATATCACAATGAATTAGACAAAATGTCTGCTTTGTAAATATTGAACACATTATTATTTTTCTTTAGCCAGTGTCTTCTTGTTTATTTGGTAGGCATGTGAAGAATCAGAGCTGGAAGACTTCCCTCGGCGCATGAGTGAGTGGCTCTTCAACATCATGCGTGACATGGCCGACCGCGAAACTCTAAGTGAACACTACATTCGTTTAGAGCGGGAGGCTGAAGAGGATGCCACTAAGCAGTGGACATATGCAGTGGTGTGGAAATGGTGCGAGCTGGATTCTCATCCAAAGGACAGGTGAGAAATATTGATGTGAACCTAGTATTAATATACTATATTGGCCAGGTGAATACATTGATAAAACTATTGCATAAAGATTATATTTGTAACTTAAAATAATCTAAACTAGAGGATTTACACCATTGTCATCAGTAGAATTCTGGTCATGCTCTTTTGTCAGTTAGTTGTCTAGTTTGGCCTGGAAGGTCAAACTGGACAAGGTTGTGACGAGAGTTTATGCATCAACCATCAACCAGGTATCAATAATGCCTCACGCTGCTCCCAACAGAGTGGTTTGCAAAGACACCCTTGCACTACACAAGATTGGTTACATACCAAGTACAGGAAAGCAAGCAAAAGGTGTACATGAGTTTGTTGTCTTCAAGCACATATAAAGAAGAGATTGTCAGTGAAAATCTGTGTGTTTCTGGTGTGTTGAATGCAAAGTTGCCTTGTGCTTTGTGGTAATCACTGCTTCAGTGAGTATCACACATTCGTGAAGTGTCTTGTTCGGTTCCAGAGGCCCAGTGTCTTCTGGAAACACAAACCGAAACTGTCTCTATTTTCCGCTTGTTCCCGGTTCCAGAAGCCCAGTTGTCTTAGGTTGTGTGGAAGAAGGTTAGGTTTAGCCAGTGTGTGATCTATCCACAGGCCCTCGTGTCAGCAAGTTTGCACCTCTGTATTGTTTGCTACTATATTTTGGGCAGATATTCAGACTCCTGACTTTTTGCATCCTAATTAAGTGCTTGAAGCATGTCATGTAGAAAACGTTCCTCACCAATGCTGAGCTTAGGTTACAGTGGATCAGTTGATCCAGCACTGATTCCCTTCAGGGTTACTGGCTGAGCCTTCTCTTCTCTGGTAAGTCATTCTTACGTTCCCTGTGATTAATTAGCTTGGGGAAGCCACCAGAGGAAGCCTTCCCAGAAATCCAGAATTGAATGTAGTGATACATAATTGTGGGTGGTCCCCCTCTTTGTGTCTACCCATTCCTACACTGACATCTTCCCAGAGTCTTTGGGGGTTGTTTTGTGCAGCACAAGTCTGACTAGTGCCATCGACCTGGAACCCAGGAGTTGCTGGGACTGTCATCTGGCGAGCGAGTGATGCTAACCCAGCAATTGGTTTTGGACGAGTACATACTGTAGTTAGTATCAGGGTTACCAATATGTTCCATGCCATTGCTTGCTTTGGGGCACCTCTACCTTTCTGGTGGGTTATGTTTCTGTATGGATTCACGTATGTATACCCCAGACTCCCCATGCCTCCATTGAGGGGGCCAGATTCAGGTACTGGTCTCCAGTAGGCACTCATGATTCGTAAGAGCCTTGTGGGGCACATAAGGCTTGGGGTATTTAGGTGGGTAGTTTGGGGATCCACTGAAGGGAGCCCCTCTCAGAAAAAAACATAATGTGAGGCCCTTAGCTATGACTTTCTTGATGTGTCTAAATTTGGAGCCACTTGATGAGAGTAAGGCATCCATAGGTCTATCATACATTATGTGTATGTGTATGTCTATCTATCTATATGTCTATCTATCTATAATATTATATTTCTTTTTCTTGATTTACTTATTACATATTGTAAGACTGCCTGAAGACTTGTTGTCTATTACAACTAATTAATTACTGTATTAGCCTTTTTTGTTTAAACATAAAAGATTAACTTAAGAAGAAAAATCATTCCCAAGTTAAAGGATTAATTGAAGAACAAAAACTAGGATGAGAGACCTGAATACTTTTAAAAGTTAAATGCTTATATATATATATATATATATATATATATATATATATATATATATATATATATATATATATATATATATTTGTCTTTATGTATTTAGCTTTGTCTCGCGTCATGAACTGTTCCCCATCCGAGCCCCGCTTGTCACTCTGGAGCACTGCATTAGCCAGTTCCTAGACTCGTGTGATCCAGATGATGACCACCGCATCACCTTTAAGGAATGGGCTAACTGTACAAAGCTCTCTGAGGTAAGAAACATTTTAATGTTGTATGGGCAGTGTTATTTATTTTTAGACAAAATGCTTCCTGTAATGTTTTATAGGGATAGATTGCATCCTGCCACCTGGTGGGTTGTTCATTTTTAGCCATGGTAAAATGCCGAGGGAGCCGGTCGGCCGAGCGGACAGCACACTGGACTTGTGATCCTGTGGTTCCGGGTTCGATCCCGGGCACCGGCGAGAAACAATGGGCAGAGTTTCTTTCACCCTATGCCCCTGTTACCTAGCAGTAAAATAAGTACCTGGGTGTTAGTCAGCTGTCACGGGCTGCTTCCTGGGGGGTGGAGGCCTGGTCGAGGACCGGGCTGCGGGGACACTAAAGCCCCTAAATCATCTCAAGATAACCTCAAGATAACTTTGCTAACCTCTGTTTTGTCATACTGCATCTGGAAAGGCTTTTGAGTTTATGACTCTCAAAATTTTAGATGGGATTAAGTATTATTCACTGTCTCTTCAAGGACAGTTTGAAAAGTTCCCACTGTACTGGAGTGGACTGTTGATCTGCTCTGACTGTGCTAGATTTTAACCAGAGTAGAAAAGTATCTTAGGCCTTAGGAAACATCATAGTGGGATAGCTTAGACATCACAGGAAAGATGTTAATGTTGAAAGCTTAAGATTGGTGTAAGAGCAGACTTTATTACTGAAGTTATGTAATATATTAAGAGATGAGGTAAGAAAGATTATGGCAAGCAGTGAATGTAATGCTGTAAACTTAGTGTTGGAAGAGACTGAAAGTTAAGGAGGTTGCTTATAAGATGGATAGATTTTAGCCCTAAACAATTGTTGTGCATGTGTTCATATACAGTATTAAACACTTTAACTTTTAAAATGAACAAATCCACAAGGGCCGTGACGAGGATTTGAACCTGCGTTCGAGAGCATCCCAGACACTGCCTTAATCGACTTGAGCAACGACATAGTCAACTCCTCCTTCAGTTTCAACTCCTTTTGACCATGTCGTAGCTCAGTCGATTAAGGCAGCGTCTGGGATGCCCTCGGACGCAGGTTCGAATCCTCGTTACGGCCCTTGTGGATTTCTTAATTTTAATAACTTCTTTATAATAACTTTAATAACTTTTTATACTACAATTGACTTTGGTCTTTTATACTCGCAGGAGGACTTTGAGAAGCTTGAGGACATGTGTGAGAACATCCGTGATGACTAACATGTTAATCGTGGTGTCAGAAAGACTTCTGTTGTTGGAGTCTATGAAAACGTTAACATAATGCTTTAATCCATATGTAACAGATGCAATTAAGAAACCAAGTGACTGATTGTATTTAAATGCCTCAATAAAATTTAAGCGATATAAGAAGCATAGTTTTCAGTTGATATTTAGCTCTGTGCAATTGAAGTAAACATGTGAATGACAGTTGAGGTGGTGGTGATGTGACTGGTTTGATATTAACTGAAATTTGTCACTAATTGTTTGATTAGCATAATATTTTTAATGTAAGGAAATAATAAAGGGTCACTTAACTATGTAAAACAATTTGTTTCAAAAATGTAATATAAAATAGGAAATTCTTTTCTATCAATCTTATTGGATGCATTTTTCTGTGTTCTTTTCCGAGATAATTTAGATTTATGCTTCAGTATAAGTTAGGAATTATATCATGAGTACAGATACGTAGAAATATCGTAAGTAAAGCCTACTGCAAAGTATGTAAAGTTATTTTTCTTTTATAATACTGTACTCTTACTGTATTACTTAGATTATACTACTTAATAATAAAGCAACTTTGTACAAAGTTGCTACACACTGCCATATGTTGTACATGACTGTATGTTATACTGCCAGGTAACGGGCCAGTATGATGCTTTATATTTAATGATTTTCTACTTCACTGAAATCTTTGGCTAGTTTTTATTGAATTTATTTTTATGTTGTAGCTCAGTTCTTGTGCTGAAATAAAATGAATAAATAGGCAATTTTCATATGGTAACTGTTACCCTATGAAGAATATAAATTTATATATTTAACATCTTTGATATATTATTTTCCTTTTAACTTAAAGTAAAATGCCTGACAATCTATGTGGCATTCAGAAATGATTACGAAACTGCTTTGTTTGAACTTATTACCTGTCTTGTCATTAAGTAATACTGAAGCTGTACATAAGACAATACATGAATCTATAAAATGTTCTTAGGAGAATTGAGCTGGGGACACGTCTTCTTAATTAAACTCCTTAGTGAAGGGCACAATTGGTCTCAATCGAGGGGGACCTATTGACTGCTACCATCTCCACTGGCCTCATGGAAACTTCTTGTTAAATTATCCCCATTATTCTTGAGGATTTTTTCCAAATGAAGTTTAAACTGAAGTACAGTATATCCCAGAATTAGCTATCTATTTCTATGAAATTAGATGACTATTAAAAACCTACATAGTTTCATGATTTTACCCAAATATGACAAATTTTGTACACCTTGCTGCTCGATTTGGATAATACATTTAGGTCCAGCATTTAGAGCATGCTGGATCTGACTGTGATGAGCTTTTTTCATCAGAATTCAAGAATCTATGAACTGTTGGCTTTGATATGTTGAGTTTTTGACTGGCTTCCCTAACTGACACTGTTGGTTTATCCTCTAACCAATGTTGCACTTTTTCTATGCTCTAATATTGTCCTTGAGCGTCCTCTACCCATGCCGTCATCTACAGATTCAGTTGTTTTACATTTGTTCACAAGTTCATGAATTGCTATATAGGATTGATTCTATGAAATTTCCTTGTAAATCTTTCTCTGATTTCATTAAATTGCAATCCTCTGATACGAGACGTCACAACAAAGGTGCGCTTTGTGTATTCATTTTTAGGGTTAGGTTTTGAAGAGATGAAATAATTTACAAATGTTTAGTTATAACACATTAAACATGATAAACGTCAATAAACCAAGTTTTTAACAAATTCGTGATTGAATTTTAATAGGTAATTCTTGGACACCCTGTATAGTATTTTCTTGGCATTTATGGCTTCAAAGGGTAGGTAATTCCATGGGTTAATTACCCTATGAGTGAAAAGTATCTCCTGTTTTCAACCTTCATTGCAGCTTGTTGAGCTTGAAGCTGTTGCCTCTTGTGTGAGTTACACTTGACCTTTCAAAGCAGAAATCTGGATTAATTTCTTCCTGTTTGTTCAATATTTTTAAGGTCTCCAAGAAGATCAGTACTGTACTGTCATGTCTGATTTCTAGTGTTTAGTGTCCTGAAACCTTCAACTTTTCCTGGTATGAAAATTTACTTAATTCTTGGATATTTTTGTTTCACTTCATTTAACTTTTTTCCAAGGAAGATGAAATTTAAAAGTTTTGGAAGCAGGAGCAGTGTGAACCAGATTATTACAGTGTGTGTTGATTTGTCAGAAGAAGAGTTTTATGTTAAGAGGACACAGGGTCCAGGGTCCAGGGACCCTGGTCCATGGTCCAGGGACCATAGGATTAAGGACTTGCCCGAAACGCTACGCGTACTAGTGGCTGTACAAGAATGACTATCATTAGTCTCACTATTGAGACTAATGCTTGCATTAGCATTAATCATCAAGATCGAGCATTAGTCATCGAGATCGAGCATTAGTCATCGAGATCGAGCATTAGTCATCGAGTCTCGTCCTAACCACATACTCAGACCTTAACAAAGCACCCGGGAAAGTGCGAAAGACTTTGAGTAAATCTTTACATAAATTTAAAAAAATGCAGTACATAAGTGTGGATTTTTATCCTATGTTATTATTATATCTGTGAAAAGGACATTACCATTACTTATTATTGTTAAATCTTCTAAAGGATAAAGATTTCAAAGTTAAATTGAATAGTGTTATTCAAATTCACATACCGTACTGTATTTAACTTCATTAAATTTATAACCGTATACAGGTAAGGTACTGACAAATGTATAAGTCCAAAGTTAAATTGAATAGTGTTATTCAAATTCACATACCGTACTGTATTTAACTTCATTAAATTTATAACCGTATACATTAACTTAATGACAAATGAATAAGTCCAAAAAAATTAAATATTCATTAACTTTTATTATATGTTTACTATATAAATATTATATGATATATAGTCATCTCGTTAGCCTCCTTCGTTTGGCGATGTCCACCATACCTCACCAACAGCCAGTTAAAGATGCTACTAAATTTATAGCAAAATATCTAGAAAATCAAATAGTACATGAAAAGATGGCATAGCCACACCCATATGTTAAGTGTCATTAGTGTTGAATTGAAATTGAAGTAAGTTTATTGAGGTAAAATACACACAAAGGGATGAGGTAGCTCTAAGCTATTCTCACCCCGTTCAGTACATCGTGTTAATACATACATGGACACACATCACAAACAATAAACATATTACCAAACATTCTGAGAGATAAACATCTACATTTCCTTCATTAGTTTTTTTTTTATTTTCTACCACAGACGTGGCCACACATTTACAATGCTAATCAGCATATATACATTTTTTTCTGTTCTCCATGGACAGAGTTAGAGAAGTGTTAAACATATAGTTCAAGGGTTTATTGAACACTCAACCACAGAAGGTGATTCGGTGCTTTTAAAATTTAGTGTTGGACAAGCTGCTTCAGAGCGCGACCTTGAGACTAACTGCCGATGGCACCGCCACCAGCCTAGCGTCTCCCAGCACTGCGCATGTTGCTCAGGCCCTGTGACCCCAGGAGAGTGTTAAGAAGTTCAGAGTTGCGCTTCTGGGCAGTTCCTGTGGTTGTCTGGTGGTAGTTTGAGGGCAGAGGCAGCAGCACCAGTGACACAGAACCCTCCTCCGGCTGCTGTAACATACAGTATGCACAATTTATAAATAAATAAATAAATAAATGTTTATTTAGGTAAGGTACATACATACAAGAGATTTTACAAAGTTTGTTGGATTAATAGATAGAGCTAGTACATACAATGCCTAAAGCCACTATTACACAAAGCGTTTCGGGCAGGAAAACGATTTACTTTCAAACACAGTACATAGTTACAAAGTAAGGCTTGAGGAATTGCAAGAAAGCTATCCATCAGATGAGATTAGGCAAGTTGCATTCAGTTCAGTTGTATTCAGGCAAACAACTCTGCAAATATTTAATTCTAAATAAACAGTTCACTTAAAATTAAAACTAGCTCAAACCCCTTGGCAAATGCATCCCGTTCTCATTAACAAATGTCAAATGCTCCCTAATCCAGCCTCCAAACCTCGTTTATGAATGAATAACAGTTTACACACGACTCACAACTGATGACATTCAACCACTTCCGGAACAAGTGCTTCACTAACGACTTGTGTTCGAACCACAACGCTGTAAATGCTTCACCCACGTACTACAAACACAAATAATCACCAAAGAGAACCTAAACACCTAACCTAACCTATGCCTATATATGCACAATATACTAACATATTATAATGATAATTTATATTCAAGAACATTCCCGTTTTAAATGAACAGCATGTAAAAATTTATGACTGCGTCTGTGGGGTCGACCGCTGGATGTAATGGATTTGAGTCATAGACGGGTTGAATACCAATAATTGCTAACAGAATCTAGTTACTTAACCTAAGTTAGGCTTAACTGTTCAACACATTCTAGCATATAATATTACCTTATAGCTGAGACAAAAAAAAATTGAATATGAAGCACTTTACGTTAAAATTGACAAATGTGTCTTTAGGTTGGGCCGCCGCCTGGATGAACCTAGCCTGAGGACAGCTTGTGTAGTTGCAACCCGTTCTCGCACTTTCTTACAGTCAATATTGACTTATTTTAAATACGTGTACATGTGGCATACTACATACTAGTTTACCTTGAAAAGCTTCATAGAAAACACCGACCTTACCGAGGTCGGTGTTTTCTATGAAGCTTTTCAAGGGAAACTAGTATGTTTAGTATGTTACATGTGCACGTATTTAATAAGTCAATATTGACTATACGAAAGTGCGAGAACGGGTTGCTATATGGCTGCCAAATGTTTTACGGGCTATTCATGCCCATGCTACCTCCTGGGTGGCTTAGTCAATCTGCCAACAGTTGGTGTCACGGATCTCCTGATTACCAGGAGATACCAGCTACTTGCAGGTTAATCTGGTGCTGATAAACCACCAACCAACGAAAATGGTAGAGGGGAAGTTATTAATGGTGTAGATGAGCTACTATGGGGCTCTACCAGCAAGGAGCATGTCATTACATTCAAGGCTGGTTCTCTAGGGAAGCCCTTGGTGGCTTCCTGAAGCTAACAAACTTGACTTCTCGAATAATCCATTGCATTTGACATCAAAATCTCCGACGGACAGATAAAAGGTTACTCTAAATCATAGTGGCTTGCAGACATTCACGTTTTCTTTGTGTGTAGGTCGTTAGGTTGGGATATTACCTTAAATTAGTTATATGTTCGAACGTTTTAGAACACCGTTTTCTCCCTACGATCCCCTGCCGCGAAGAATCGTTTTTTCATCCAAGTACACATTTTACTGTTGCGTTAAACAGAGGCTACAGTTAAGGAATTGCGCCCAGTAAATCCTCCCCGGCCAGGATACGAACCCATGACATAGCGCTCGCGGAACGCCAGGCTAGTGTCTTACCACTACACCACGGAGACTGCATAAAGGAAATGGGTTTATTTAACAACCTTGAGGTTACCTTGAGATTTCGGGGCTTAGCATCCCCGCGGCCCGGTCCTCGACAACAAGGAAGATGGAAAACATTGGGCAAACCTGAGTGGAAGTGAATGGTAACTACAGGTGTCCTCTGGACCAAGGGACCTCCATCACCCCCAAGCCTCAGTTCAACCCGTCCTCTTAAAAATAACGTCACTTTCCGCTCGTATGTGCGCTATGGCCAAATTTGGACGTAATTTAAAATGAAATTTGCCCGAAACGCATTGCCCGAAATTTGCCCGAAACGCATTGTGTAATAGTGGCTTTAGGCATTGTATGTACTAGATCTATCTATATATCAATCCATTAATGTAACA